TGATTAATATTCCAGTTGATTAGCAGAACGAGCCAGCCGTCGCTTATCCAAAGTGTCCACAGCTGGTGTGACCATCACAATTACCAATTCACAGCTGACCATGAAATTTACATTAAATCTATGTTTCATAAGAGAAGCAGACGCTATGAAAATTAAGTTGGCACATATTACTAAAATGTATTCTTTATTATTCAAATAAAGCACTATTATGAAGCAAATAGATAATTTTTTTGTTGTTGAAATTTGTGAACAACAAGATTGCTTGACTAAGGGTGCGACTGTGATCAGGATAAAATTTATATTTTTATCATAATTGGAGCACGATACTAATATCATACCCATCACTATGACCCACTGCACAAAATCTATTAGGTTACGTCTTAAAAGATGTTGCCTCTCTTCAACCTCTTCTTTAAAAAAAACGCATCTATTTTTCTCGGCGACGAATCACTTTTAAACCAACAACGATGCTATGAACCAGTTCCAGCTTTTCAAGCAGTACATTTGTAGAGGAGTAGTGGGTGAGGTCACATCACGTCACGCTCTCCCTCGGAGTGGCGTCGCAGAACGTGTCAGGCAGACCTTGGGGGACGGTGACGTCATGTCCCCCCCGGAGGGTATTTAAAGGGAGACCCTTGACATAACCGGGGATCGTCGGGGGTAGGAGTGGGGACTCGGGGTAGGTGATCCTCACACGAGGCTAACGGAGGCTAATCCGCCCGACCGGCCGAGGTTGGGGTAGTCCCGGGCCGGAGCAGGGAGGAGAGCCGAGTTAGCTAGGGTTGTAGGATTCACAGTACCCTGTCCCCTGGGGAGCTATAGGCTAGGGTGGATTGGTCAGGCGTAATCCCTTAATAAACTCGGCGTGAGCCCCTAACAGAACCTGCCTCTGAGTCGTAACTTGCGCCGCAACACATTTAAAAACTGGTACAGAAACACCCTTTTGGCCCCGCCCCCCTCCCTCCCGATACGTTCCATTCATTGGCTACCACATTCTGATGAGCTCCCCCCCCCCCTCTCCTCCCCCCTCAACTCGCTTTTAAGGGATTACATCTTGAATCATTGCCTCACTTGATGCAGCTAATCCGGCTGTGACGGTCCCACCTGATGACGGAGACTTGTTTTGCCTCCGAAACGTCGTGATCTTTATTTTATTTTTATTAATTTTGATGTTTTACCTACGTGACTTTACCGAAAAAACCTAAGAATATGAATCCTTGCAGTCACGAAAGATTCAAATCTAGAATTGGTACAGAAACAAGTTGGTACCATACGTATGTCCTTCAAGTGTACCTCACGATTTAAAATAAAACATTTTAGATAAACTCGATTTACACAGAGCAAAATTATTTGATCCTTAAAATAAAGAAAAAGTGAAAAAGAAAATCCCTAAAGCTTAGCTATTGTAAACTGTCAAGTCAAGTAAATTACATGCTTCATATCCATTGTAACATCTAATTCTCTAAAACATTAGTGATTATGATTTAATTTAATTATATATTCATAGGAAGCTCATTCATTAAGGTGGTGTCCATGGATAGGTCCCAGGTAAAATGCTCTCCTTTGTTTGTCTTGCACCGTTATCTTCATCTGCCCTCACGTCCGTCCTTGTGGAACAGCTTCAGGCATCAGTGTTCTTTACTTTCCTCTTGGTCTTTTCTTAAAGAATCTTCCCTCAACCACCTCTGTGAGCAAGCCGTTCCCTCTCACTACTACTCACCTAATCATCTACTTATTCAATTATCCAGCAAAGACATTTGGTTAGAAATTAATTAATCTTTCTGAAGGCTACCTTGGTTATTCCAATTTTGGTTCCAATTTCTCGAGAACACCATCCATCAGATGTGGTAATGGTGCCCAAGTAACAAAACGCTTGCACTTTTTATCCGTGAACAAATCGCAAGTATTCGGTAGCAGCTTCGCTATTATTTTGTAAAATCACCGTGGATAAGAGTTGTCCTGTAAAATATTTAACTCTTAAAAGAGTTTTGAAATAAAGTACATTAATGAAATAAAAACTTCCTTAATACATTCAATTCATTTTCAAACAAAATGCCTTGGTATTTTTTTGTAATTAAGGTGCGCACACGCTGAACACATCAAGGGAAACATGAAGTGCAGAGAAGCAAGTCGTAGCTAATGGAATGCAGAATTTTGCAGATATGCTGCATTGTGAAATACAAATGCACATTTGTTGAGCAAAAAAATTGACCCTGTCATATGTTGCAATAAATAAGTTAAATTAACTAAATTGTGCAATCATTAATTTGTCGATTGTTGCTTGCCCACAACTTGTTTTATTTCTATTCTTTGTGCAACACAGAAATTATTCTGGTCTCGTATTAGTGCACATTTTCTGCATAAAAGTTCCTACCCGCTTACTAAAGATTCATTAAATACCACTTTTATGTGAAAAATGAGCCAACGATATTTTCCATTACCCCCACTTGCCATGGCCAAACAGGAAATTGTCCATGAAGTTTAGCCAAATTGAGCCAACAAATCAAAGGAAAAAGCTTCGTTGCATTTCTGCTTGTTACGTTTCAAGTTGTAACAACATATCATTATGTCCGTCAAATTCCTGCAAATGTTGGTCATCACAATTGCCAATGCAAAGACATGCAAAAGTATATATTTTTTACTCATCATGTAAAAATAAATTTCTGTACATTTGCCATTCCTACGAATAAATACTGATATAACCTATTGTCATCTGCCAACACTTGCAAGAATCGCACATTAATGTGCCCAAATCTATGTACTAATTACCTTATTTAATTAATGACGAAGAGTCTGGTGTAACGCCCTGGGAGCTGAAGTATCCACCATTCGTCACCAGAGAGTGTGTCACCCAGACCCAAAGAATCGGCACCCAGAACCACAGCAATTAAAAATGGGAAGGACTGTGACGTATACACAGAACACGTATTTATGGGGCAAGTATAAAAATACTCTCTATTACGCTGTGACCACCACTCCCATGATTCCATACAGATTGGATATGTACCAGCACATTTACAAAAGAAGATAGAAGACTCCCCTACAGCACAGCCGGACAAAACAGCACTGCCAAAAGACACCTTCACTGAAGCTAACGTAATCCAACCAACAGTGCTCAATAAATGAATAGGAAACCATCCTGGGGTTGCCACCTTGCAGATGAACTGCAAGGAGATTCCTGATGTACAAGCCCATAAGGCTGCTATTCCATTGGTGGAATGCACATGTTAAATAATGTGACCCGTTGACGGCCTCCTGCAATGCTCCCACAGAGTCATATACAATGCTTCCAGCAAACTACCAGCCAAGGCTTAAAAGTCAAGGCCAATTTTTTTATCTGTCAAACGATCACAAACAACTGCCCCAGGACAGAAGACCCTGAATGTGCACTCCTCAACCTTAGGAGCTTCCAATAGATCTGGAAGGTCAGCCCTCCTGTGCCTTCGACAGACCTTCCCCCGAGGCAACGTCCCTTATGATCATAGCCAAGAGCTCCTTTAAAGCAGACATGACATCCCCTGAAGCCGAGGCTGCCACGTGGTCAAGGGCTTACTTTGCTCTGCGGTTCCTCTCTCAGGTCAGCCCTGCACTTTGCTGAGCTATGAAGTCGCTGTTTCAGACTAAGGCACAAAGGTGGCTCAAGCCCAGATAGCTTCAACAACTAGTTATTACCGGTGATAATCCACACAAGCAATGCTAACCAAACACTACACTGTGGCGTGGTACAATACCAATACTCATAATTTTTCATATGATTTATTTCTTTCAGGTTACATTTTTCAATAAGAAATATTCCAAAATAATGGTGTGCATGCGGACTGCTCTTTTTAATGAAAACAACACCCAGCAAAACAGCCAAACTGGGAGCAAGCCATGGTCGTGAACCCGACCAGAGCACGCTTATTAAATGCATATGCTCCGAAGCTATGATAAAGTAAACTGAAAACTGCTAAGCAACTGATCTTCTGCACTATTCTTTATTCTTGTTGACCAAGTACAGGTTCGTATGATCTGACTGAGTACCAAGCGAAATCACGATGGATGATGTGGAAAGGCACTTGCAGGTGCCAGTTCTCTAGATCCCGGGTTTACCAATCTACCAATCTCCATTGAGGACCGGCAGGAGACCATGGCACTCAGGTCATACCATTTCTTCTGGCAAGTGTAGTGCTCACACTACACTAGGAGTAATTGGTGAAACTTAATAAAAAATGATTAATTAGTAACAACATAAATGGAGGTACAATTACATGCAATTTATGTGATTGTTGTTAGAAGACAAAAGGTTCTATCATTATGGCTTGACAGGAGTGGCGGTGACTTTGTTAGAAGCTTTGGTGCCGCGGCAGAATATATTCGATGGCAGTGCTGCCAAAATGTTATAAAATGTCGTAGAAGCAAGCAAGACGAAAGCAGGTTAAGAAAGCAATAGGCGAGGGGGACAAATCCAGCAGGTTGTGGCATGTTTTTTTCAATGAACTAATTTTATCCAATTATTGTTTTCTAATTCTCTAGGTCCTAAGGGGCCACATATATCAATTGGTCAAGACTTTGTAGCCAGGTTCGAATGACCAAAGGTCTGCAATACAATAAGATTATTTTACAATCTGAACATTGCGTGGCCCCAGGGGTTATTCATTATTGCAATGTCACGAGCACAGCACGCATGCACTTGAGAGCAGCAATAGGAGCTGTACGCTTTCACGCACAGCAAGGTAAATGAACCAGATTACCAGTTCCTAAGCATCAATAAAAACAGCAGTAAGCACATGTACGAATACAAATAAACCACTAGTAGAGGATGGGAAGGATAGAAAAGTGGAAAGGACCATTAATACATTATTAAAATTCCTATTTATTGTGTAAAAGCAATTGCAATTACTAGACCGTTCTTTTTTCTACACACAACATCCAAAGTGGGTGAGTGTATACAGACATTTGCACATTGATATTGTCACCTGGGAACTCTCCCTGCCTTACAGTGTGCGCTTAAATGATACCTGGCCTTGTGCCCGCCTGGAGTGTCGAAGCCTTCTAACCCTCGGCCGGCAGCACGGCCCCATCCACTGGCCATCCTCGACTCGCTCTCCTGTTGTTCCACGTAGAACCTACAGAGGCTCAAGTTACCTTCACGTTATACTTTCCCACCCCTGCCCAAGCTCAGCGGGGTGGGGGCGATAGTGTTATCCCTGCTGAGAAGCATTCCTGTCCTTAGAGAGGTTATGGGGAGGGGGGATGGGCAAGGTAGGGGCTGGGGGAAGAGGGCTGGGGATGGTTGGCACCTCGCTTTGCCTTGCAACAAAAACTCACTGCACAGACCGACCGACCAGTGTGCATTAGAAACACTTAACGCACACAGTTAACATTTTACTGTTATATTAATTAATTTGAAAAAAATCTCAATACAGAATTCTAAAAATGCCAACTTTGATTGAAAATTATGAAAAAGTGGTAAAAAACAATAACACGTCTATGTTTTTAATACATTTACAGAAAACAACATTTAACGTGCTAAAATAAGAGTTCAAATTGTGGAAACAAGAACTACTGCTAAAAAAATCTGCCGAAGCACTACAAGTATCTTGTATCTAAAACTAGCGGACTGATATAAATATCTGTCGTGTCACGTGAATGTTTTGCAAATGAGGATAAGTCTACGCACCCACCCATAGGGCACGTTCCCCTTCTACGCTGCCCAATGCACACCACATTCCTGGCAAGTGCCTCGCACGCACGGGGCGGTACAGTGACCGTCAGCCAGGGCCCTCCCAGTAGCCAAATGAGCAACCCGTGAAGCGTCGTGTGACACACATGCATTCCTGCCTCCACAGCGAGGCCAGCTTTCATCACTCGATTGACGACACAAACGTATCTCTCAGCACCACACGCGCTCACAGTGCAAGCCCAACAACAGATAGCGGGGTGCATCTCTGGCGTGAGAGCAGCAAATCAAGCCAAACAAAAGGGCACGGCCTGCGGTCCAGTAATGATTTCGCACCGATCCCAGGCACGGGTGTTGTTACACATTGGAGCGTGACCAATCGTCCGTGTGTAGAGTCATAATGAGCCAACCAACATTTCCCAGAAGGCACGCGCGCATCATGCATCACATCAACCAATTAATGTGCTCTGCGGACGATAACTATTGAAACGGTTTAGTTTGGACGTCAGGTCACAACAACCTACAAAACAGCCCACAACCCTGCGTGTGTTATATAAGGCACCAGAAATAAAAGTGTCTGAAATTTTAGTCGTACAATTTCTCAACATGCACTTTACAGTTTTCTTTAATAGGTTCAATGATCTGCTGAAATAAATTTCCATTGGTTGGTATGATGCCTGTCATTGTTTAATCTGACATTATTTCTAATTTTTTTTTTAAAATGTACACCTTTATTTCTCCAACCAATGTTTCAGAAATCATCTTATGCCACTGAATAACTGGTGACATCACATCTGCTTGCCTGACGCCTCCTGTTATGTATTTCGTCACGTTCCTCAAGCAATTTAAGTGCAGCTATTCCAACTTTACAAATTCTCTGTAATTTCTAAATATTTTTTTTATTTAGGCCTTCTTATTGAGAGCTTGGATGAGTGCGCCAATTTACTGTCAAATTTATTCAGCAAAGGCTCAAACTAATTATGAGCAAATCATAAGTTATGTACAAATATATTTTGGAGGGACAGCTAAAAACATAGTATTTATATCTAATGAGAATTACTGAAGTCATACCAGGAGCATTTTATTAAATATAAAGATAAGTGAGATCAGGTTAGAGTACTTTTACTAAAAGGAGCAGTGAAAATAAACATACGAATGTGTGCAAATAAGAACATTCCAATGAGTGCATGTTACCTACGGCTGACAATTATCGGAACAAAAAAAGTGCATACTTAGAATTATACTGGCAGACATAAAAATGCAAGTATCAAAGAATAATAAAAAAATATATAAAAATAATGGTAACTGTGGGAGAAAAAAGATGTGAACTTGGTCAGGGTATATCTTTAACAAGGCATGAATGGCTCGTGATAAAAAAAAAAAACTGCTTGAGTAGCAACTAAACGTGGGTTACATACCCAAGACAAAAGGTTATGGCAGAGGCAAATGGAAAGCTCATGTGCAGGAGCTAGGTAAGATTGTTGAATCACGGGAGCATGAGGGATGGTGATGATTTGATGAAGCCTTCATCCAACAGTGGATAGAGCATGTTTGATGGTGACACATGCACGGTGATCCTCATCTTAAAAAAAGTGCAAGGTTGTACCAGACAGCATGATGAGAGTAGAATATTATGCTGCTGGATGTTAACAGCCACAAATGCACCATATTTGTCAATTGAAATCAACTTTCCCCCAGGCGAGCAGCTAACGAAGGTACAGTTAGTGTGGCTGAATTAGCAAACTGAGAGTGTATCTATACTCAACAATTATGCCTATAGCACTATATATTACAGTTATAAAGCCAAACGTTGTTCCACACAAACAATCTAATTTTCTTCTCCGTTTCATTTTAATCACGAATGAACAAGAAAATGTTTCTTCTTGTACTGGAGATCTAAATGATACACAATGGCACGCAAACAAACATTCCATTCGCACACAATATCACATTAATGGATGATATATACAGGGTGGGCCATAAGTAACTACAGTACCTGATATATTTTGCTTATAACTTTTGAAAAATGAAAAACACAAACTCCCTTTGTTGAAATAATTGAACAATTGTTTCTCAAATAAATTTCAACTATTCTTGCATGCTGCTGAGGTCTATACCGGTTCATCATAAACTCCCAATCTTCTACTTCATTTATGCAACAAAATAAACAGAATAATTTAACACAAAATTCCACTATTTCAAATCAGGTAGTTACTTATGGCCCACCCTGTAGAAGTAAAGTGAAAAAACTGCAGCTTGCTGTCAATCAAGCAGGGAAAGTCACAGGAAAAGTATAAATAATCAAGCTTAAGAATGCCAGAGCTTAAATTAAACCAGTTAAAATTTCGATTTAAAGCTTTCGTGACTGCAGGGATTCATCTTCTTGGTTCTTTCGGTAAAGTCACGTAGAAGGGAGATAATAATATAATAAAAATAAAACATAATAAAATAATACAATTCTCAATACCGAAAGAACCAAGAAGATTAAACCAGTTTGTAGCTCCATCTTCAAAAGCATCAATATTTCCACGTTAGTCCACAGATTCTGCATAATAATGTGCTCTACCCTGAAGGATCTGGACAAAATAAAATGACACCTTGTGGTAATTAAAATTTCAACAACACCTGAAGCCTACTTGCTCTGGGCTCGCACTCATCCAAATGGATGAAAGCACTGACAGATTGCCTGCGGACACTCTTCATTTCCCAAGTAGAAACGAGGACAATGTTCTGGGTCAACAGTTGCCAGCAATGATCACTGGCAATGCTTTAATACAAGCAACTATCAGGACTTCGTACAGCATTCGCAAACAATATTGAAACCGGAGGGGGGGGAAAGTTTGTTGAAAAGTGTGCTTGAGGAATAATTATTGGACTACAGAGTAGTCACATAACTAGTGTTTGAAATGATAAGCTGCCATTCCTTGGTAAATAAAATTAAGGGGAGCAGCATTAAAAATTTGGGTCACTTCATTTTTTTTAATAGTGTGGCAACTACCACAATGCAAAAAATATTATTGCACTAAAATTGGCCATATATACATCGGCCTTAAGAGTAAACATTGGCTTACAATAGCGGTCGACCTGGATACACATGCATCGTCACTGCGTACCATACCGGATGCTTACACTGGTGCTGGATTGCACTATGTTGATGCACACAAGTCGGAGGTGTAAGCTCAGCTGCAGAATCTAAGGACACCCACTCAACCAAACTCAATGACAACACCTGCAAGAGCCAACACAGGACAAATGAAGGGTACAAGACAATGGATCACTCTGAAGCTTAGGCAATTTATGGCCTTGGATTAACACAGTGAGGCCAGACAGATAAAGGTGCTGTCTGTATGCAGCTTATTGATAGGTGCAGAAAAAGTGCTGAAGCACCCAGAGTCCCTGGAACAAACTGAGTGGACCGTAGTGCTCCGTTAACCTCTGGCCTATGGTTAACCAGAAGGAATAACGGGATGTTATAGCTGCAGCAGGAACCATCTGCTAACCACATAAGGCCACAAGTGAAAAGGAAGATTGCGAGATGGAGAAAATAACTAACAAGTCTGACACCATACAGTTCCAGTATGAAAAGGTCCTCGTTATTTAACCAAATTCGGGCAAAATGTCTTAACAGTTAATCGTAGCTCAGTATTTATGTTGAGGATTGAATCCACTGCTCCCTTTGACCAAAATGCTGAGTGTTTCTATCAAGTGCAAAAATGCTTTTTACGTATTCTCACTGCACCGATTAAAAGTCCATCTCTTTCTAATTTCAACACTAATTCGCCATAAACAGGAGGGATTAATTCACACGGAATGAGCCTTTAATACACGTTAAGACCCAAATCCTCTTAAAAATACATGCACCAAGCCCAGCCTTGGTATGCATCACAAACCAGCAAAGGTAGGCCATTGCAACGAACCCCAGGAGACAAGATGAAGCTGAAACAATCATCCACGGATATGCACACACTCCGTGCCCCCACTTCACCGTAGCAGTGGATGGTGTGCCATGCTCCTCTGTGAAGCAAGATGAATGTGTAAGAGTCATTGTACATACTAACACAGTTCACCTACACAACAGCTAATGGCCATAACCCAAGCTGATTTTAAGATATTCAAGCAAATAAGAGCCCATTGGTGATGTCCATTCACAATCAGAATCTTTTTTTTTATCCTGGAGCAATCTGATGATCTTTGAAGCTCTTTTTCACAGCTGTTCAGTAGGGACAGGTCAGCAAGTTACAACAACAAACAATACAGAAAACATTAGGAGTGCAATCTAAACAAAAATGTAAGCAAGTCACTGAAAATCAATACGTAAAAATAAAGTATATAAGCACAAATTGCATAAGTACATACATTCCTGCCCCGATTTTTCAACACTAGATGCAACCTTGGGCAAGGCAACAAAGCTGCAATAAAAACAAACCCAGACCACACCAAGAAAAC